TTCTCTCTCTGCATAGAGCATGAGGACACCTCCATTTCTTCCCACTCTGCTTCTGCCAGAAGTGATCGCTGCTCAGTTCCTGCCTTTTAGCAGGAACTAGAACCTGTGAAGCACTGTTCACTTTAATTTTTGAGCCCTTATCCATCTTGGTGTAATTAAATTATATTAACTGATGTGTGAAATGTCCAGTTTTCCATTAATTGTAAGGTCTCCTTTTCTGATTTGCTTTGTTGTATCTCTTTATTGACTGTTGGTGTCTCACTCTGCTCTGCACTTTGTCTTCCTCCATCAACTCATCTGTTCCTGAAGCTTTTGGCCTCAGTCAGTAATCTCATTTGTTCCCGTTCCTGTGATGTGATGATAAATGACAACTGTTTATTCCACCAAGTCCATACATTAATTTTTTTAAACCACATTAGTTCTTTAATAAACTGGAAATTACAGAACTCATGAAGCACAAGTTTATTTAATATAATTTATTTTTATTTAATTGAATATTTAAAATATCTTTGTATCAGCTCAGTAGAATAAGATCTGTCAATAGGATTAAAAATGTTTTTTTCCATGCATTCTTAATTAAATCATTAACTAACATGAAAGCGAAAAGACATACAGAAATCTCAGCACAAATTTCCTCTAAGGACTTCCTGTCTCTCATCTCTGGCATCTTGCTGCTCTTGCTCTGCTGTGCCAACACAACCACAAACCATATCAATGAGCTGATTTAGTTAAAAAAAATAACCCACATTTTGCCTCAGAATACTTCTAAAGATCAATCAGTTCCTGGGACGATATTACTGTGTAAACTGACACATCCTGCAGAGCTGAATATCCAGACAAAGCATAGATGTCTGGTTTCTTTATGCTGTGAGACTTCTGTTCCTCTTATATGGGAATACATGTGAAGGTAGACTTTGGAATAGTTCCTGTCTTGAGATTACACATAACAGCAATGCATCTCCTTGGTTGTCAGTGGTCTGGGATGTCTGATCCCAACTCTCTTTCTGAGGGACACCGTGATAGTATTTCTAACTACTCTTTTACAAGCAATAACCCTACCTATTGTAGGGTTACTTGATCTCAAGCAGAAAAGATCTTTTTCCTCTAAAACCTTTAAAATCCTTGGGACAGAAATGCCATTATATTGGTAAGGTACAACTGGTGTTTGTATTTCACCACTCGCTCTTTATGTCAAACCATGACAGAGCTGTTTGATGGAGGCAGATGCTCATGAGGAGCAAGGTGGGCACCATCCTGTGCACTCCAGCTGACTATCCAGTGCTGACCTATCTAAGACATGGAAATGAAAGCAAGAGTGAAAATCACAGGAACAGCTTGGATCCAAGCCAATTCAGTTTAGTTAAATCCAATTTAGTTTAGTTAGCAAAAGTAGTCTGTTCTATACCCAGACATTATCCATATCCAGATATTGTCTCTAAATACAAAAATTGGTTGCCTGAACAAAATGAGTATTTTCTAACATAATCCAGTCAGAAGAAGAAAATGAGTTTAGCAGAGAGGCAGTATGACTCAAGGTATGTAAAAGGTTACACCGTTAAAAAGAATGCAATAGTTGCATTTTTAATATTACTATCCTGACTACCAGTACTTGCAAAATAGGTAATGTAGGTATACATTTTTTAAAGTGAAAATAATAGCAAAACCATCTTTTTTAGAAATAAAACCTATCTGGAAGGTTGTGATGTCAACTTCTCACCATTATGTTCTTTCATAGGCTTCAATGGAAACACAGGTGTTCTGTAAAAGACTAATGACTAATGCAACTAGTCTTTGCTGTGTATAAAGCTGCATTTTGCCCATGTTGCATGTTGCATTTTGCCCATGTTGCATGTTGTCTGGAGTGGCAGGTAGCAGAAAAGAGGTATTGTTCCCCTTAAACATTCATGACAAGTTTAACCTTTATTATTTATGGAAAAGAATAGAGTGGGGGCTGGTCTTTTTCATCCTAGCATCTCATTAATAAAATAGAAATGACATCTACCTGCCTACTCTACTTTCTGTTGTGAAGTGGAAGCTGTTCAGATAGCAACAGTAGCAAAGTGTTATTACTATGCATGTATGTGCATTTATATATATATGTATGTATGTACATTCATGTTTTTTGTGCACTTTTGTGACCTTGTAGCTTTTATATCTCCACAGAAGTTGGTGTCATTTACAAGGAAAAAAATTCACATTTCCATCTGTTTTTTTAGCATCAGATTGGCTCATCTTGGGTTTTCATGCTGCAGTATTTTCACCTGAAAACCATGTGGATTTTTTACATAACAGATGTATATGAAGGTAAGGTCACAGAACACAAAAAGAGACACAAGATACATCATGATGCATTTAGAAATCCTTTAGGTGCCTCCCAAAAGAGTATAGATTCCTGAAAATAAGAAGATAATAGATTTCTTGAAAAACAGGGAAAGAGTTTGCAAGTCTGAGTGGCTGGATATATTTGCAGTATAGGCGCTGTTAAAGCATTTCATCTTTTCAGCCTGTAGGTGGGACTGTGTTTTCAGCGAATCCATCTGTGAAAAAAATTCTGAATTGGCATCAGGCAGCTCCGGCTGCTGCTAATGCTAGCTGGAGCGAGTCAAGTGATTCTTGACTTGTGTTTGAGTTATTTCTGGGGAGAAAATAGCCTGTGTCCGAAATTACTTTAGTCCTTAATGGGCTATTCTGAAACCTCTCTTCTCACTGCAGTCTGTGGGCATTCTGCCTGCTACAAATCTGCAACTGCAGGATTTGTTCCTATTAAAAAGCATTTATGTAGCTGAAAAAAATAATGTCTGTGGAGAAATGTTGAATTGATAGCCATGGAAAATACTGTAAGTGAACTGATGATGGTGTAGTAAGTGACATTTTGAATTGGGATTAACAAGTAAATTCTCATGAATAACTTCTTGGCTCAGAAAAATAAGTCCATCACAGACTGGGATTCTTCTTCACAAAAATACTTAGGGCAAGGGGAACAGAAATGTTTATAGCACTCTAAGTCTACAGAGACACTGGCTCCCATAACACTGAATGCAGTTACTCAGGTGAGCAACAGCCACATACTTTGGGCCAAATGTTTTTTATAAAAACACTGAAATTGGACTCTGATGCTACTACTGCTACACAGTTCTGGCTAGATGCCTTTTGTTTCTTGTTTTGCCTCATGCTGGCCCTGCTCCTCTGCATCCTCTGCTTCTCCCACTCTTATTCATTCCCAGCAGTACTTTACCTCACAAGGAGCAGCCCCTGTAAAGGGGCAGCAGCCCTGTGATTTATGGGCTTACTATCTCTTCTGTTGTGTTTACATAGCTTATACTCAAATAAGAGTATGGAGCTCACATGTAAAATGAAAAAGATATTATGCTGGGGGAAGGAGGAAATCAAGAGAGATCCGACCAGATTTTGGTGCTGTAAACACATCTGTTGGGTCACCATAAAGCAATGACTACAAAGGTCAGCATTTCAAACTGTGTCTTAAGAAAATGTTTTTGCAAGCTTTGTGGTAAAGATGGCTGGTGTGTTGTATATTGTAACATTCTGCTTAATCTCCTCTATGTTATATGGAGTCATTTACAACAAAAAATGCCTGACATAACTTACAGCACAGGAACACACAAAACTAGCTTTGCCAGGGTGGATGTTTATGTAATCTTCAAGAACACTCTGAAGTTTGATTCAGTAATCAAATAAAACTATGAGAGGCACATTTCTGAGAGACACTACCCATCTTTGAATTTCTGAGCTTCTTTATTTTACCGAGCCTTGTTAGATAAATGTTGATGATTATTTCTGTACATCATGTTATCTGCTGTTTTCATTCCACTTCTCGGTTGTAATTGCACAAGCGCTTTGAGCTTGCTTTATTTAATTGAGGCATCTTAAAGGTGAGCAGATGGTCACCACAGGAGTGCAGGTTTCCCATTCACAGCCTGCACAGTGAAGGCAGCAACAAAAGTTAAGTTTACACATACTGCCCTGACAACGACCTCTGTGCTGAGCTAAACAAACCCCTTCTGGAAAGCCGGGAGCAGTTCTCTCCCCTTTCAAACAGAAACCTGGCACTCTCTAGCAACCATAAAACATCAAACTGTGCAGCCCTGCTCTGGCTTTCAGGATGCGTGCTGCTACCGGGCACACAAAGCTCCACAGAGCACCATCCTTTAGGATTTGCAGTCAAAAAGCATCAGGTGTTCCAAAGCCTCTTTCACAACACATCTTTCGCATTTCACATCACTTTATTCCAGAAAAAGCTAACAAAATCTAAAGCATAGCAGTTTTAGGCCAGTGAGTAGAACTCAACAGGGATGCTCTTAGGACTAGGCAGTGTCACCCCAGTAATTCCAAAAGATCTTTTTTTTTTCCCAGTAAAATAATCTCAAGACCTCTCCTTCACTGACATTAACCTCTGATGCTTGGGGCACGAAACTGAATCTCTCGACACAGTGGGAAATGACAAAACACGGTATCTACAGGGCACGGGGGTGCTCAGAAAGATCCCAAAGGGACACAGGTAGGGGCCACAGATCCACTGTCAACTTTCCCGCAGACTAATGTTGTGCATGGGCACCTTTCCGGGTGAGGATGGGAGTAGGGCAGCCGGGCTTGTGCCCTGCCGCAGCGAACGTCAGGCTGCATCCGCTGGTGCTGATGCTGCAGCCCCTCCTTCCCCAAATCCCCCAGCCCTGCCGAGCGCCGAATCCCTGAACCCTCGGGTTGCCTCAAAAGCCTTCCTCAAGCAGTAAAGGACATCTTAAGCGGTCTGTAACAACCCCCAAAAAATATTTAAGAAACCAATGGAAGTGCAATAGGATCCTTCACTCCCCGGGCCCGACTGCGGGGACTCGCTTGGCAAGGGAGGGCAGCAACCGAGCAGGAAGGTAGGCGAAACACAAACAGCAGTGCCAGATGTGCGCGATAAGGACACCCCCCGCGCGGGCGCGGAGGTGTGCGGGGCGGGGGGGCCGCAGGGAGGGGGCGGGCGGAGGGAGCGCCCGGGCCGGCTCCTCCCTGCGCACAAACCCGGCCGCGCCGCGCCGGGCGTGCGGAGACGCCGCCGCCGCTCCCGCGCTACTTAAGCGGGGAGGGCGCAGCCCGGCAGCCCCGCGGGGGGATCCGGCGTGTGGGGGGAAAGTGATCGTAGTAATAGTCGTCCATCTATAAGAGAACGAGAAAAGCAGAGCCGAGATGCTCCGTCCGTGACCCGCCAGCGGGGTGGGGAGGGGCAGGTTGTGAATCCGCCAAACACCTGAGAAATAAAGCACGACCGAACAATTTCGAGGCGGGCGGGGAAGGGGGGGCGAAAAGTTTGCCGGAGCTCGGGCGTCTCCGGGGGGGCGGGCGCGATGCCGCCCTGGCTGCTCAGCAGCCTCTGCTGCGTGCTGGCGGCGCGGGCGGCGCTGGGCGGCGGCCCCGCGGGCGAGGAGGAGGAGGAGGAGAAGCTGATCCGGGTGCTGGTGCTGCTGCCGCAGGACGACGCCTACCTCTTCTCGCTGGGGCGGGTGCGGCCGGCCATCGAGTACGCGGTGCGGAGCCTGCGGGAGAGCGGCGCGGGTCTGCCGCCCGGCTACGCCTTCCAGCTCACCTACGAGGACTCGGCGTGCGGCAACCGCGCCCTGTTCAGCCTGGTGGACATGGTGGCCCTGCAGCGCCGCCGCCCCGACCTGCTGCTGGGGCCGGTGTGCGAGTACGCGGCGGCGCCGGTGGCGCGGCTGGCCGCGCACTGGGACGTGCCCATGCTGTCGGCGGGCGCGCTGGCCGCCGGCTTCGGCGCCAAGGGCGGCGAGTACTCGCACCTCACCCGCGTCGCGCCCGCCTACGCCAAGATGGGAGAGATGCTGCTGGCCCTTTTCCGCCACCACCAGTGGAACCGGGCCACGCTGCTCTACAGCGACAGCAACCCCGAGCGCAGCTGCTACTTCGCCATGGAGGGCGTCCATGTGGTGTTCCAGGAGGAGGCTTTCCACATGGCCGTGCACAGCTTCGACGAGACCAGCCGGCACCTCGACATCGACGACGTCGTCCGCGCCCTCCAGACGGGAGAGAGGGGTGAGTGGCGGCGGGGTGCCCGGCAGGGCTCCTCCGTGGCGTTCGGGGCGGCTGGGGCGGTGGGAATGCCGCGGAGGGAAGGACCTGCGGGAGGGGAAGAGTCACGGCTTGTGGGGAAACCCGCTGCGGTGCTGCGACGGCAGCCCGGAGCCAGGCATCCCCCGACGGATGGGAACGGCAGCCCGGAGTGAAAACTCTGCCCACAGAGGTAGAGTTTTGCCTCCCGACGGCGTAGGGAGCGGCTTGCCCTCGGGGACCACCTTAGGAGGACTTTGTGGCGTTGTAAGAAATCAGCTTTCTGCTGGCGGTCGGGTTTACCCAAATTATCCATGTCTGCAGAGCAGCAAATCTGTTGCTTACTCTCTGAGATTTTTGCAGTGACACTGTGTAAGTTCAGGGACTAAACAAATATGTTGTCTTCTCACCCCGCTGTGCCTGGCAGCGGGAGACCTTTTCACGGCTTCTGCCCCTCGAACCCCGTCGAGTACCTCGTAAATAATAGATGCATTTAGGGGAAATGGCAATTTCAGAGAATGTGTGCATGCGAAACACCTGAGTGCTTGCCGTGATATTGTCACCAACAGTTAGCAAGACACCGTGGAGATAAATGGCTTGTAAAACATCTGGGACAGTCATGTCTGGGCCGAATGAACTGACTTTGCATCACAGAGCAGCAAAGCAAAGTGCTTTGGAACATGCAGGTTTGTAGTTAGATGTGCTTTAAAGTGAGGTATTGCCTAGCAATGTATGACTATATGGGCTTATCAGAAACACTTATCCTGTTAGAGGGTCTTACCAGCCACAGACTTCTCCAGTAAGTAATGCAAAAGGAAAATATGTATTCTAGGAGTGAACTGGAGGGTGTAGTTTAAGTCCTCAGGTATTTTCCAAGAAAGCCATGGGTGTACAATGCCCTTTGTACAATTCTTGCATATCTTGTTGTAGAGTGTTAAAATAGCCTCAGAACTGGGAAGATAAAGATCATGCTGTGTGTGGCAGGCAGAACTGGTGCTATGGTGCTGTAGGCTGTGGATGGAGCAGCCTTGCACTGCTGATGTTACGCTGCTGTGAAATCATTAACGTGCTGGAGTGTGTGAGAACTGAGGTCTAACAGTATAGGGCTTTTAATTCCCTATTCACCGAAGCAGGTGCTTTAAATAGAGCTTTCCTTTTAAGTATCATTTGGGGAAATAGAATGAATGGAGAGAAATAAATGTGTCAGTGCTGGAGGAAACCACAGTGTGGGGAAAGATGCTTGTCAAGTGTGTGTGTGGCTTTCCTGATGCTGAGAGAATTACAGCATGCTTACAGCAGGAAAAGACAAGTGTTCACCCCAGCCCCACTCTTCACACCATGCTGACAGTCAGACCATGCTTTCAGCCTGGTCTGAAATGCTATGCTGAGCTGAGACATTTGATCTTTCACAATTTTTGCAACTTGCAAATGACTGAACAGAAGCAGCCCTCTTCTTTCTCCCTATTGTGCTCTGTGGGGTCCCTCCTTCCATCTCACCACTTTATTTGTTCTCTGACTCCTGCCGCTCAAGTGGGGCCCTCCAGCTTCCACTTGTGCCTTTCTGACCTTAAAGACTGCAGGACTCACCTGGCAGAGTCCTTTGGCCCTGCTGCTCGTGGCATCCTTCAGGTTACCACAATATTTTAAGAGTTCTACACCATGTGGAGGGTGCATCAGATGAGGTCTGAAGATCAGTCAGAGTTTTTATTTGTTCTGGAGACTCACTGTAGATCCCCCCAGCAGGACAGCAGGACTTGTGGGCAGCAGCACACTGTCCAGAGCACTTTTTAGAAATATTTTTCCTTGGCTGGTTTCCAGTTTTTAATGACTCCTGTGTCACCTGCTGTGATGCTGTCCTTGGCTCTAAGTCCTGACCTTCTCTGGCTTTCAGAGACTGCTGCTGTTTGGGGTCCCACCTGACAGGTCAGCCTTCTCTGAACTCCCTGACGGGAGTGGGCTTTTGAGCAGATACAGGATTCTTCCTTGAAACTCTCCCACAGCTGGGACAGAAACTGCCCCACCAGCTGTCCTGTGGGAAGCAGGATGGAGGATGGAGACTGGCCCCAGGGGTTAGGTTGCTGCTGGCTGGGGGTTTGCACTGACCTCTCAGATGCCTGGGAGGAAGAGGCACAGTCAGCCATTCACTCCTGTGAACCAGGGACTGTGTGTTCAGTCCCTGGAGCCATGTGAAATGACTGAAGTCTTGGAGCCACAAAAAATAGTGATGAAAATATTATAATTAAAGTTAAGTGCTTGTCTAAAATTAGTTTGATTAGTAGTTCAGGCTTCTTTATAGGCTCAGTTAAGCCTGCTGCAGAGTTCATGTTGTAGGTCAGGTTTACTGTAAGGTTCACAAATGCAGGCCTGTGCTTAATGTATAAGCACGTAGTCCAAGGCATGTGTGCAGCAATATATACCTTACACTTACTCCTTTAAACTGGAATTAAACTCTAAAGTCTTTTCAGGATGAGCCAATAATCCTAGTCGATAAATTCAGCATATTAGTGTTAGAATTTCTTCCTGTGGTCTGTGTGTGTTATAGTGGAGGGAGAACACCTTGTATGGGTTTGCACATACACGCTTGTATGTACACCATGGTAAGGTACAGTTGCAAAATAAACACATAATTTACATTTTTTGAAGATTGTGAGAAACATATCCATAGCCTATTTGCTTCAGAATCTTGAGATATGTAATCTTTGCTTTCCTGCTGGGTTAGAAACCCCTTCCAAACAGTTAATATTACTTCCCTTACATTCCTTTAGAGGCATACAAAATATGATTTAATGTATGTTAAAGTAGTTCCCCACACACTCTCTTTCTTTTATTCCTTTTGCTCAACGTCTTTTATTGGTGTTGTGGGAATCCCTTTGATTCCATCTACAGATTACAGTTTTATGATAGAAGTGAGTTACAAAGGCAGAGTCAAGGAAGAATTGGGAGGGCATCAAGGAAACATTTCAAAAGGAAATCTCTCACCTATACTGAAATTAAGAACAGTGAGACAAATTCATTCCTGATGTGCATCTGGAAAATATTTGGTCCGAATTTTATTGTAAGAAAATTTTTTTCTTGTTCGTTTTCCTTCATGCTAATATACTTCACAATGATCATGAAATATATCTTGCTCTGTTGCTCTGGAAATTATTATATTACTCTGCCATAATCAGTAGGACAGAGCTATGCATGGTATAATTCTCCTGAAGCGTGGGGTTGTACTGAATATGACTCACCCCAGCGGCACATCTGGAGGTTTGTGCCTGTGATGGCATCCAACCAGAAAGGCGATGGGAGAAGATTCATTGTGTGCGAAAAGATTTGGCCTGTTTGGCGTTTTCATTTCTTATAATAGAAAACACTTCCACCCAGAAGAGCCGAATGTGGCTTTGATTAATTTTTATTGTTGGGTTGAAAATATTTGCGTACATTATTGCAGCTTTTGAGTCCTGCCATGCGTGACGGCGTTCTTGGAAACGTGCGTGCAGTTGGTTTTGAATCACCATTCTGACAGGATCTCTTATGTCTCTGCTTTAGGATACGGTCCTGAAGCACACTCTGATAGCAGGATCTTCATACCTGTAGTCTTGTAAACTGGTGTAAAAGCTTGTAGTGTAACTTGCTCCATGTGGGAGTTTTCTCCCTGATGTTGAAGACCTCACCTGTTGGGAATCTCCTTTCCTTTTGCAGAAGGAAGGAGTAGCAAGGGCAGTAGTCCCCCTGCCCAGCAGATCTGGGAAGAGACCTAGCAACCACAATCATCACAGTGGGAGTCACGGTGCCCACACAGGGGCACACCTGTGGGCTTGTAGGTCTCATCGTAGCAGCAGAGCCTCTGCTTAGCTGTTGGCCCAGGATAAATGGGGCTCTGTGGTGCTTGTACCCACCTTTAATCTTCATGCTTATACAATGCAGCTTGGTTTTTCCATTTATTAACATTAGGCATCCCATCACAAGCTGCCTAGGCTTATTGCATGGTCTCTGGAGTGGAAGTCATATTCTGGAAAGATTCATACTATTGTCCCTGCTGCACAGGTGCTGCTCTCCCTTAATTGCAGGGAGGCAGCGAAGTCTAGGCCAGATACCTACATATTAGGTAGCTGAGGTGTAGGAAATTCAGTCTACATCAAACTGTTCAATGGAATGGAAATTGAAAGGGTAAGTCATGGTATCTCCATCTTCATCTTATGTCTGCTTAGAAATAACAACAGAAGCTTGTGCTTGTGGTCTAGTCTACAAGTACATGTAAAGAACTTTGGAGCCAGAACTTACTACATTCTGCAGTGGTAAAAACCCAGATCACACAGAGGATCTATTTAATTATCTTCAGAGGAGACAAGGAAAGAGGAAGCCTTTCTGTGTTCACTACCTGTCTTGCCAGCTCTTTGGGAAATCAGCTTTGTTTGCAATCTGTGTTTTCATGTTTGTTGCAAAACTGCGGGGACAGCTGGGGTCAGTGTCTCTGGCAGCATTCTTGCTTCACAGGCTGTTCTCTGAAGTTCTTGAGCTGCTTCTTATCTGTATTTCTCATTTTCTTCCAGTTGTAATCATGTGTGCCAGTGGTGACACTATCAGGAACATCATGTTGGCTGCTCATCGGCAAGGAATGACCAACGGGGACTATGCTTTCTTCAATATTGAACTCTTCAACAGCTCATCATATGGTAATGTTTTTCTTGCCCAAGTGTGTTGCAAAGTGTTTTGTAAGCGTGGAGGTATTTTTAGATTTGTTAGCCTCAAAACACATAGCACTGAGTCCCAGAAAACACCACTGTCTCTCCCTGTTGTTGCAGTTATCTTCCACTTGGGCTATGGTGTTGCAGGAAATAAAACAGACCATGTGGCTGTAGTTGCTACTGGGTGGGTAACAAGATGCTAAATATGCTACAGTAATTAATTTTTGGGGAAGTAGCACCAGACAGAGACATTGGTTATGGTGTGGGTACCCCATTATGCAGTGTGTTCTCAGGTCTAGGTGACTTACACCATCCCCAGCCTTGTGACTGCTCTCAGGGTAGGGGCATTCCTGGCAGCCTGGTGACCTGTGGGCTGAGCAGATGGCTGGAAGGAGTAATTAGCAGCAGCCACCGTTGTGGCTGCAAGGTTTGGGTCTCCAGAAATCACCTCTGTGCTGGGACACCTACACATCTAATTTATTTATCTTTTTTGATCGCAGACTCTGTCTGCAAAAGTATTCAGACATGCTGTCTTAAAGGGAACGCACTGGATGGGACACAGGCAGTCCAAATTTTCTAGAGCAGAGTGAATAAAAGTGGCTGTTTACACCCATAAGTAAAAGGAGTCATTTTTGTCAAACTAAAATATGACTTCAAAATGTAAATTAAATGCATTTTCTTTTTGAAATATACCTAATATACCAAAACCTGTGTACCAAAATATAATTGTAACTGCATGTTGCATCAGTGCATGGCAGGGACTATACCTGCTCTCAGCTGGTGCAGCTGTCTCACCTAAATTCAAAGTAATATTGGAGCTATGTGTTTGTTGAGGTCAAACATCAGATGGCTGAAGCGGGGGCAAGTTTTGTTGAAGTATAATGTGGCTCTTAAAAGGAGCAGATTCTTTTGCAGATGTAAAGAAAATAATTTCCTCCATGCAGACTGCTTAAACTAATCCACTACAATAACATTTCAAGTTAAAAACTAAGTAGAAGCTGAGAAAAAAGGCAAAGTGTGGGGGTTTACATTCTTAAAGCTGCAAAGTCTGTCCAACAGAAACAACTGAATTTAAAAAAGGATAATTTTTTTAAATTAATCTGTTAACTGGAAGTTCTTTTGCATAAGCTTTCTGTTATTCATCTACTACCCCTGAAATTATTTCGCAGTGAACAGCGCTGTGTGACACACTGTTTAATGAAGGTATGTAACTGTATCAATTCAGAGATCTAGATATGTACAGAAGTACAGATTCTGCTACATGTATCAAGACTGGCTAAAGAATGCCAAATTTTGCCAGGTAAGAAGTAAATCACTCAAGTATCTAAAACATGAAGTTGTAGGTCAAGATCACAGCCAGTGTGGGAGCCTCATTACCACCCTCCTTTGCATCACAGGTAGTCCAGTGTTCTTGTAGCTTTTCTGAGGGATGAAAAATGTCTGGCTTCTGATGTAGAGTAGTTAAAATGTGGCATTTCCTGAAATTTGGTTTAAACCAATTTTCTGCTTGTGGATATGTTTCCCATGTAGTGTGAAATGACTGTGCACCAGAAGTTGACTTTTGCACACATAGTCATTGCATGTGAAAAGCAAACACAAGAGAAGTGTAGAGAAATGCTCCCAAAAATCCTTTTTCCCAGTGCCTGGTGATACTAGGTTTTGTATTTCATAAAACCTAAGAGTGGGTGTGATTGGGTAATTGGCACTGTGTTTGTGTTCAGATGACTTTATTGCAGTTTGTTGTTGCCCTCTGTTCTGAATATTTCTAATTTTTCAGAAGACCAGGCTTATTAAATGCCAAGACTGCAATAATTGTACACAAGTGTTGTAACAAGATGACCTCCCACAAAATACTCCATGAAGGAATTTAAATATGTAAATTATTCTAGGAACGCTGTTATGCAAGTGAACCTTCCCCAGTCCCAGTCTCGGGATTTAAAGAAGGAACATGTATAGTGTCCAGGACAGAAAGTTATGTTCTACTGGCACTACCACTTTTTAAATTTATTTATGTATTTTCAATGTCTATAATCTCATGCTTTTTAGCTGTGTCCATTTGCAAATGCAAAGCTATAGCAAAGCCCTCCGAGCTGTAGTCTCTGCTGTACTCCTTGAATCCAGCACCTCCAACATGCAGGTGCCCAGCTGGGGCAGAAGCTGTTCAGCTTTGAGGCTTCTGCAAGGCTTTGTACTCTTTTGGGGAAGGTAGCAAGGTGTTCTTGCCTACAACTGCGAGATGTACATTTCCTTCTCTGTGAAAGCAGTGAAGAGGTCAGGTGCAGGCTCTGCAGGAGAGAGAGTGGCCAAACCAGGCAGTGGGATGTTAGCTGCTATCCAGTGTCTCCATTGGGTGTGATGAATATGGTTCTGTGTAAGTGATTTTGACCTTGTATTGGGAAATAAATACCTCAACCAAGGCATATGTATCTAGAACTCCTTCCTAAAAAAATTATATCACTTAAAAAAGTAGCAAAGTTCCTGCTGTGTCTAAAGATTACAGTCCTAGGTGGTGCTGGGCTGTGGTAAATAAGGCTTTCCAAGGGTGGACAAGAGATGTGGGAAAGGTGCTCCTGTGTCTCCTGCCTTGTGTGGGGACTGACAGGAGCTGTCTTGGACCCAAAAACTGCAGGAGAAAGGGCTTATCCCCCAGAGTAGTGCAGGGCCTTTACTCCTTCCCTTGTGCTCTCTGAGGAAGCAGAGCAAATCTCCAGTTAAGTCCCAGCAGCAGTGCTGGGAGGACAAAAAGCAAGCTCTGTTTACCTGCTTCAGGTCCAAGAGTTTGTTCTTGCAGCTGTGTGATGTAGCTGGGAAGCACTGTGCAGGGAGCACCGTGGGTTTTTCACCTGTACTCCATCTCCTATAACGTCCCTACAACTTGCTTTTCCTTGTCCAACGACACAATGACAATATGGTCCTCAATCCAAGCAAAATAACCACATCTTCTCTGATTTCAGGTTCCTGTGTGGCTCTGGGTCACCTTGGGAATTTAGCATTAGTTTTGTCTTGGCTCATTTAGCCATAATGGGGTTTGTTGCTGTTGTTCAAAAAATAAAGGCTGTCTAGCTTTTAATTACTTGTAAACATTTAAAGGCTCACTGCTTAGGGCTACCACTGTTCCCTCTAACCTTTTTTAGTTATCATTAACATCAAATAGCACAAAACCTACTCCAGAACAGCATAAACCTTTTCACTGACCTCCTGAAGTTTTGGATCAGGATCTCAGGGCCTGCTAAGGCCAGGATATGTTTGTAAGGACTTATTTCCTAATAAACAACCAATCAGCTATCCTGCTTTTTAAAAATGTGGTTTCTTTACTGGTGGTCTGAGTTAAATTGTTCCCTTGCTGTGACACAAAACACGTGTAAATACAGCGTGGGCGCAGGATTCCATTTTATTTCTATGTATTCCTTTCCCATTAAAAGCAGGGCTGGTCTGGCAGCCATGGCACACATGGTTTTGTCCTTGACCACAGTAGGAGAGCTGCGCCATGTGCCTCCCATTCAGGGTGATGATCATGCTCTTGACTTTACTGGTGCCTTTCTGACCGTCCAGGAGGAGTGACGTGTAACAAAACTTTGTGCACGAATCCTCCCTCACGTTTTCTAAATTAAATATCTCTGCTTTTTGATCTGGCATATGTGTTTGGCTCCAAGATGCCATCTCACACTTAGGATTTATTCCACCTTTTTAAAATAAGCAAACACATCATGGGAGTAGAGTTGTCCTTTGGTTTGCACATTTACTTCTTAGTTATTCCTTGCTGCCTGGTTTCCTGCACAGCTTGAGGAGGTGTCTGTTCTCCTTTGTACTTTACCATCCCTCTAGTGATCAGAAAAGGGGACTTTTGGATAGAAAAAGGAATCCCATAATGTACCTAGTTTGGAAATATGCTTGTTTTCCTCTTTAGGAAATGGCTCCTGGAGAAGAGGAGACAAACATGACCTTGAAGCCAAGAAAGCATACTCATACCTCCAAACTGTCACTCTGCTGAGGACTGTGAAGCCTGAGTTTGAGAAGTTTTCCCTGGAGGTGAAAAGTTCTGTTCAGAAGCAAGGTCTTCATGAAGATGACTATGTAAGTATTTGATGACAGTCAAGTCATAGCATCTTGAAAAACATGGTCCTAATTAAAGCAGAAGTGGCAGTGAGACCTTACCAGACAGAATCATCTGGGCTCAGTCGCTCAAATTGTACTGTTGCACATATAATTTTTTTTTTGTGAATACTTCAAAGTACAAGGATAGGCTTGGTCTAGGTGCACTATATCTGTGCACCGGCATCCATGACCAATTGTCCTATGCTCATCTCTTTGTTCATCAGCAGATAGGTTGGGCAAAGGCAGGTGTCTCTCAAGACTACTACCGGTAAGTCTTTTTAACAGGCAAAGAAATACAGCCTTCTTTTTTGTTTTCTCCTAATAATTAAATTTATTTTTTAGAATCCAGTCTCAGAAAGTCACACTATCTGTATTGCATACAATGATGTGAGTGAGAAAAGTGGTATTATTTCTCAAAAAATAATCTTTAAGTAGTTGCTGGTTTTATTTTGAACTGTCTAGAACATCAACAGTCCTTGAGTTGCTTTAAGCCTTGGGGAATGCCAGTGTCTTCCAGAGGTGGACATGGGAAGCTATGCCTTTTTTTAACCTCTTAAAATGTAGGAGGAAAATGCTTTTGAAAATTACTTTTGAGCTAGTGCTGAGCTAATGCTAAGCTAGTTCATTTGGCATTTTCATAGAAAAGTCATCTGTGGAAGCAAGAATGCATAGCAAATACCTGCAGGGATTTCTGCATGCTGATACAAGTAGTTCCCAGGCAGTCAGCCTTCTCCATAGTGCAGTATCAACTTTCCAAATACTCTTATAGAGAAAAGAGGCTTGAAGAGAGTTTGGTCAGTCCTTAGCTGTAGCAAATGAGAGCCTGAAACTCAAAAAAGCAACCCAAACCCTTCATTTTCCAGCTTTCACTTAGGTTTCCATCTCATCCCTTTTGCTTTAAGCATAGTGTCCATCTTTAGTTCATCACTTTGTGCTTGAATTTTATGTTAAAGAATTAATAACCTTTCCTGCAGTTTATTGTATAACTTTGACTACCTTTAGAAAACATGTGTTTCTTAGAACTTTATTGTATTTCATTTAAGTATTTTACCTGAAATGTTAAATTTGAATCACAACAGTGGTTTATATTATTCCTGTGATACTTTCAAAATCTAGTCTTAGTCTTTTGTTGGCATGTTTTGTCTTGGGTTAATGGAGAAACCCCACCTCACAGTTTCAAGGTGCTGCTGTGAAGAACCTGCTAAATGAGTTCTGAAGAAGGCCATGGGACTTCAATTTGTGCTGTTGCTCCCTTTTCTCTCCATGTGTCCTTTTGCAAATTTCACTTAGCAAGCTATGTCCTTTGGAAACCTTCTATGTGCCTTTGTGGTTGGTGAAAAATGTGATTTTAAGTACTTTACATCCATTGATCTGCAGTGTTGTGGGTTTTTTTAGTCTGGGCAGTGTGATATCTTCCCAAATAAGAAAAGCTTTATACTGACGAGAGCTCAGGCTACTGTGGGCAGTTTGGAGGCAGGCAAAAGGATGCTTTTCTCTTCTTTAGGGTGGGGACCTACTGCAAACCCTGGGCAGTATTGATTGAGGCTGCGTAAATATAAGCCCTGTTCTGGGCTTGTATCCTGTCAGCCAGGACTGGATCTAGGGGAGAGCAAATTACCCTGTGCCAGCTTGGGGGAGATTTTGCAGGCTGATGTGTTTGCTGGGGAGACTCCCTCACAGCTGCACACCCACTGCCAGAAATCCTCTCTGTCTTTCCTCACCACATGGCTGCTGTGTGTGCTGTCACTGCTCCTGGCTGTCCTGGAACAACAATGGGGGCTGGCTCCCTACCATCTCATCCTTGACCTTCTGCCTGGCTCTGAGAGCTGCCTCTCCCTGTGTCCCATTTCCACCTGTGATCTGGAGTCCTTCACCTTTTTCCAAGCATTCCTTCACACAAAACCTTTGCTAGAGCCAGGCAAGCTGCATAGGCCTCCTGCTGCTCCTTCCCCTACTCCTCTTCCTGTTCTTCCTTTCCCACCTGGCTTTCTTCTTGCTTCCCAATCTGTTCTTGATGGGACACAGAGAACATCTTGTGATCTGTGCACACCTACCACAGAATCCTGCCATGTAAAACATCAGCCCTTGGCTCACAGGCAGCCTCCATGGTGGAGGCCAGTGGGAAGTGCAGCTCTCTGTAGAGGAGATACAGGCCATGGCTATGGGGGAAGCAGGTTTGGTTTCAAATGCGGAGTATCCTGCTATTAGATGGATGTTTAAATAAAATTGACTTCAGCAGAGCCTCCCCTCCCTGCTTTTTCACAGCTTTCTAACTATGGTAAAATAAAACGTCTCTAAGAGAATTAGTTTTCTGGTTGAGTATAGCGAAGAACCCCGTAGCTGTGTTCCTTCATTAACAGTGTGTGAACTTTAACTTTCTGGTTTGCTTTGCATCGTTTGTGATGAATTATACATTTCCTCACTTTAGACAGTGGAAAAGGCATGCATCATATTCCCTTAACTGATTGTCCTGCTGCCCTATTCAGAGCAGAAACATTTTGGGGCAGCCTTCAGGATTAAGAAAGAAAAAGCATTCTGAAAACTAGTGGGGGGAAAAAAAAAATCTAGACCGAAGGCAAATTCCTTCCCATCTGAAAAATTTCTGGGTAGTGGGCACCCATTAAGTGTGCTTTCTTTGGCAACATGGGAAAAAAGTGTCCTGGGTATGCATTAGGCAAAGCTGTGTCCTCCAAGAGAAGATTGGGAAGGAAAAGTCCTTGAGCTGAGTGAGTGGGAAGTGACAGAGATGGATTTTGCTCTGCTGGATTCTGCTCCTGAAAACAAAAACTATGTAGAAAGATAATCAATAGTACAGCCCATCTCAAGTCATATCCACGGGTGTTGAAATATAGTCCTCATTCTTTTCTGCAAGCTGTGTCCCAAGAGGAGACGCTTAGGGAGGTTTGGATTTGAAGCATTCAGTGTGTCTGCTTTTCTGTGTAGATTTTTCCAATGTCATGGGAAAATGGGGCCCCAGGCCCATGGTCTAAATTATCTCACAGTGACCCTAACTCAAACAAAAATCATTAGTGCTGCCATTTTGTCCTGGCCTCTTGCCAGCACTAATCCTAAAGGCATTATTATCTACCAAAAAAGAATATAATAAAAATGGAAAATAAGCAGATGACAGAAGGAAAGATAAGGGAGACAGAAAGGGCAAAGTCCTAAAGCAGCAGCTGTCCCACTGCCAGATGCAGAACACATACGGCCCTTGGAGGAGTAAGGTCAAAGAGTGTTGGCTGTCTTCATCTCCAGCTGTGAGATCACACAGAAAAGAGAAAAACGTGTTTTGGGTATGTCTTTCCCAGCTCAGAAGTTTCAAATGTTTCTGCATGAATGTTTTGCTTTGGAAATGGGAAAGGTGGGAGAAGCTATGCCCTGTGAGGAAGCAGGAAAGTGGAAAAGACAACTTCTCTAGGAATCTCTCCTGTGAAGTAAGAAGCTTCCTTAAGCACCTTTTAATTAGACAGCATTGGAAACAAGAGGGGCAGAGAGGTTCTGAGAAAGCATCTTAGAAATATTTGGATTGCACAGCATGGGGCAATGGTGATGGTCCCTGTCTGCAAAGTCCCGTTGCAGCAGCCCTGAAGTCATTAGCAAATATTGTTAGTTTGCTAGTTCACCAGTCTCAGTGTGAAAGCAGTCACTGTCATGTTAATGTAACCCAAAGAACTGTGGGCTGAAGCAATAAATCTGCTCAGCCAATATTTCAGCATTCAAGTGTCTCATGTTTTTTCAAGAAACATCCTGTAGTTTTGTAGAATGTCTGACTATTTTATTCTGTGCCTACATGAAGATCGACTTCTCTGATAAAATAAGAAAAAAAAGGAGGAATGTTTTCAAAAATCTACTCAAATTTGGGTTTCAAGCATGCAGTAGAATTGCTTTAATGCTTTTATATAAATGGTGGCCGTTTTTTACTTTTGTAATGTTAATGCATTAACAAGACATTACCAGCAGGGAGTCCTGCTCTCTATAAACCAACTAACATCCTTGGTTTACTTGCAAAATATGGGGCAAGCTCTGCTTGCAGACCTATAGCCTAGTTGAGGCAGACAGCAGTGGGAATTGCATGCAATTACTTGCAGGAAGAATTTAAAACTGTCTCTAAAGGGGTGTGTGAATAATTCCCAACACATACTGTAGTTAAAAATGTTTATGAATAAACAGTGTTTCAGTTGAAGTATATGCATAAGCCATTTTTATTAAATAATGCTGAACACTTAATGAATTGGTGGTAGGGTGCAGTTTGGAAGTTCTTAATGCACCTTCTGTTCCTGACTCAGGCCTAGGATTCAATAAATGCTTTTTTTATGTCCAACCCAGTATTCTGAGCTCAGATGATTTTACAGCCAGGAATATTTGCTCTTCTGAGGTTACAGACCACCCATGGCTTGTTTTTTCTTCTCATTTAAAAGCTTAAAATGTAACTAATTAAACAAATATTTCTGCTGTGTTAACTACATGACAGCATTGTTCACGAGGTGGATGCATAGGGTTTTTTTCCCTACCCACAGCCTTTTTCACCCTGAAAATTAGCATCAGGAGAAAGGAACTGGAGCCTGATTTGCCAGTAAAGTTATCTCAGTGAAAGAATGAGCTGTGTAGATTAATTAGATCAGAAAGATACCACTCCCTGTTAGAAAGGGGAACTCTGTTTTATTTAACATTTTCAGCCCTCTGAAAGGAGAGAAGGTGCACTCAAGAGCAACCTTTTTAGCTCCAACAGTTAACTACAAAAGCTTCATGGGAGGTAGCTGTGCTCGTAAAGTTTATCATCTCATCCATAACATCCGTGCCAGACTCTTCCCTGTGTGTATTCCTTACGTCAGCCTTTTAATTAGGATTGCACACCAGCTAAGATAAGGCTGGGAGAAGTGAGCAATTCAGTCTTGTAGCTATGATGCTGAAAATGTAACTTATTCAGCAATGTCCTTCTCACTTGTCTTTTTTCAGGCACAGGCAGGCAAGATTAATGT